AGTGGAAAGAATTATTCCGGCGGCTTCTAATTTCTTGAGGCGGCTAAAAGATTTTAGAACAGTAGTGTCCAAAGAAAACATTTAGTGCAGCCAGTTTCACTAAACAGCAACTGCTTTGATATCTGAAGTAAAGTTACCTGAAGTAAACTGACTGAATCATAGAATGTTTTCGGTTGGAAAGAACCTTAAAGATCATCTAGTTCCAAGCCTCCTGCCATGAGCAGGGACTTCTTCCGCTAGACCAGGTTGCTCAGAGCTCCATCCAACCTGGCCTTGAACACTTCCAGGGAGGAGGCATCCACAGTTTCTCTGGGCAACCAGTTCCGGTGCCTCACCACCCTCATGGTGAAGAATATCTTCCTAATATCTAATCTAAATCTGCCTTCTCTTAGTTTAAAGCCTGAAGTGGCATGTCGTCTGTGAACAGAGGAAACAATGTCACTGTTGTCCCACAACCAAGTATTTTGCAGCTCCCAGCTTTCCATATGATTGTAAAATTATAAAGAAGAGTGTCAGGAAATCTTCTGACTTAAGGAATTGTCAAACGTCTCTTAGGTCAATGATTATATGAGAATGCCAGGTTGCAGCTAGGATATGTGCATTCAGAGTGAAAAATACATACATCAGTCTTCATTGTCTCTGTTATCTTGCACAGCAGAAAAATATATTTCTTCCAGAGAACAGGTAATCAACACAAGTGGAAAGCCTTTTACCACACAGAAACTGAGATGCAGTTTTAGTTGCTCTTTAATGTTCCACATGTGTCACTGGAATTTATTTCTTATGAAAATCAGTTAATAATTTCTTATGAAAACCAATTTAAAGCTCATGGCAATCCTTCAAAATATCTATACATCTATGTACCTTTAAGATACTTATGTATTATTGATGTTTAAAGCATGCAACGTCACGGCATAGAGAAAAGAGGCTGGAAACTGCATTACAGTCAGACATTGAGTTTATTTCCATACACTGGAAAATCCCTAAATTTAATGCACAAGCATTCATCATTTAATGAACTGTTTCTGGCATTGAACATAATGCTGAGAAAAGCATTTAAATACCCTAAAATTAAAGATAGCAACAGAGAAGTCCCTTAAAGTGTGATTCATAACAAAAAAACTTGCTGAGTGGCTTATGTCTATGATGTCTAATTGAAAATGTTGGGGAGAGTCGTGTCACAGAAATCCTAGTTCTCAGACTTGGATACTTACAGGAGTAACAAAGAAACCAAAAACAGGGCTGTGTGGTCTAGGGCTGTAAGTGTAAAAATGTTCATGAATGGTCATCTAGTCTATTCTCCTGTCACAAGCCAAAATTATACTTGACCAAGGTTTATCTACTTTGTTCCTGAAAGACCTCCAATGACAAAAAATCCATTCTCCACAGGCAATCTATTCCAGTGTTTCACTAGCCCCTCTGAGAAAAGAAGGAAAAAAGAAAAGTCTAACTTAAGATCCTGTTGAAGTAAACTTAGCTGTAATTCCTCTATCTAGAAAGGACATAAATAACTATTTAATTCCTCTTTGGAGCTACTTTTAGCATATTAGGGGACTGTTTCCAGGTTTCCCCTCAAACTTCTGCTTTTTTTAGTCTGAAGTTCTATATTTCTTTTACTGTTAATATATTTTGAAATATGATCATATATTTATAATATGTTATAAAAGGAAACTGCGATTTGGAACTTCTAAACTGTGCTACCTACCT